ATTTAGTTTTAATTTTTTTTTTAATTATTTTAAAATGTAGAATTTTGCAATGAGCTATTATAACATACTTAATAATAATAATAATAATAATTGGTTTTAAGGTAATTAAGTCATGTTTTTTTCCCAGTAAATATCAAGTAATTCAAAGAATTCTGGCCTGAAAATTCTGTCGTTAATTACTCGCCCTCATTTCGTTCCAAACCCGTAAGACCTTCGTTCATTTTAGGAACACAAATTAAGATATTTTTGATGAAATCTGAGAGATTTTTGCTGCACAGACAGCAATGCAACTACCACATTCAAGGCCCAGAAAGGTAGTAAGGACATTGCTCAAATAGTCCATTTGACATCAGTGGTAAAAAAAAAATGACTTTATTTCTTCTCTTCCATGTCAGTCTTTGACATGCATTCACGAGAGTACCACAACACATGTGTGTGCATTCCTCTGCTTGTAAACAAGGCATCCTGCGTCAGCAGCACCACACACATGTCGTGGTACTCTCTTAAACGCACAGTGGAGACTGACACGAAAGAGAAGAAATTGTTGAATAAAGTCATTATTTTTATTTTCTTTGCACACAAAGAATATTCTCGTAGCTTCATAACATTACGGTTGAACCACTGATGTCACATGGACTATTTTAACGATGTCCTTACTACCTTTCTGGGCCTTGAACGTTGCTGTTTATGGGTCAGAAAGCTCTCAGATTTCATCAAAAATATCTTAACTTGTGTCCTGAAGATGAACGAAGGTCTTACGGGTTTGGAACGACATGAGGGTGAGTAATTAATGACAGAATTTTCATTTTTTGGTGAACTAATCCCTTTAAAAATTGACAGCGCATTTGTGAAATATGCCTATACTGACATTGCAGCTCAAAAATACTGTATAACACCTGATGGACCAGACTGTATTAAAACCAAAATAATTGAGAAACACTTCTCAAAATGCATAAAAGGTTGTGAATTACCCAGTGACTAAACAGGCTGGTTCAGAACAAGGGGTTGTTTTGCTTGTAGATGTTACTCAAAAATATAATGCTGTATCAAAAGTATTTCCATGGCTTTGTTGAACCATTTCTTTTCACAGCTCAGTCGCAATGCAATAATTATTCATAAATTCATAAAATCATGCACTTTGCAAAGGAAAAAATGACATTGGCCTCTATCCTTGTATCCTATTATATTAAACAATCCTTTTTAGCATGCTTTTCATCGACCAATTGCAGTATCCTATGCAATGATTAGTAAAAGGTAGCGCAGGTATAATATGCCGTGTGTACTGCATAAATTAGATTTACTTCAGAAGCAAAAGAGAATTGCTAATGCATGACTGCAGTCTGGTTTAAATCCAGAGAAGGCTAACTGATGGTGCATTAAACTTATGCCTAATCCTCCACAAGGGAAGTATCGTTGATGTACGCAGAACATCTAGCGCTCACTGCGTATTTATGGGTCATACAGGGCAGAATGTGTTTCTTGACGTGAAGGATTACACATATTAAAGATTGGTATCATGTTGTAGATGACACACATCCCTGTTTACTTCTGTCTGCAGATTTGCATATGCGCAATGCTGCTTTCAATACTAATGTTTGGGCCAGCTGGGCCAGCAGCGCCTGAAAACCAGATACGAAACGAAATGAAAGATCAAAAGATATCAAGTAACATCTCCATGCCTGGATGCCACATGTCTCGAAGCCAGCGGCATTTTATGTGTTATTCGTACAGCCAAAATTGACTGAATTCTGGCATTTGGCGAAAGGATCAGATAGTCTTACGAGCTGCATAAGAAATTGAGGACTATTAATCACATTACGTTTTGTTGCCTCTCTCACTTTTCTCACTTTTTTTATTCGTCCATTAAAGACTTAAAGGGATAGTTCACCCAAAAATGTAAATTCTGTCATTAATTACTCACCCTCATGTCGTTTCAAACCCGTAAGACCTTCGTTCATCTTCGGAACACAAATGAAGATATTTTTGATGGAATCTGAGAGCTGTCTGACCCTGCATAGACAGCAACGCAACTGAAATGTTCCCAAGTCCAGAAACGTAGCAAGGAGATCTGTAAAATAATCCATGTGACATCAGTGGTTCATCCGCAATTATACGAAGCTACGAGAATACTTTTTGTGCGCAAAAGAAAAAAAAATAACGACTTTATTCAACAATTCGTCTCCTCCGCATCACCCTGGTGCCATTTTGGAGAATATCTGCTGGCAGGATGTAAATGTTTGTATGCTGTTCTGTATCAGCTGCGTCACACGGATATGCTGTTTCCGTTCAGATCAAATTACAACAACGTAGGAAACAGAACCGGCGTGACGCAGCTGACACAGAACAGCGTACGAACGTTTACGAGAATATGGATATTCTCCAAAATGGCAGCAGGGTGATGCAGAGGAGACTAATTGTTGAATAAATTTTTTTTTTTCTTTTGCACTCAAAAAGTATTCTCGTAGCTTCGTAAAATTGTGGTTGAACCACTGATGTCACATGGATTATTTTACAGATCTCCTTGCTACGTTTCTGGACTTGGGAACATTTCAGTTGCGTTGCTGTCTATGCAGGGTCAGACAGCTCTCAGATTCCATCAAAAATATCTTCATTTGTGTTCCGAAGATGAACGAAGGTCTTACGGGTTTGAAATGACATGAGGATGAGTAATTAATGACAGAATTTTCATTTTTGGGTGAACTATCCCTTTAAGCGGTCCTTGCTGATGGGTTGGTCCATCTGGAGGATCGCTCGGATCTGCTATGGACTGAGGCGCAATGGTGCTGGTGTCGAGATTAATCTGGCAGCGGTTTGTACTGATCGCCCGGTCATCCAACCCCCCGTGGATTAGCACATGCAACAATCCCAGCCTGCCCTGCCCCGCAGACAGCTGGTTTAAAGACCGCCCACTGGCCAAACATCAACTAGCGATCACCAGCTCAATGTCATAGCCTCAGGAACTTTAAAAGAAATGCACTATTAATAAAATCAACCCTGGAAAGGGGTCATTTGATCTTTTTTCAAGTACTTCACCTTAAAATAAACAGCATTATGTCATTTCAAACCTATGTGACGTACTTTTGTGAAAAAGAAAATGATTTTTATGAATTTTTAGAATATAAAAAGTCATATGGGTTTGGAACAACATGATAAAAACTGAATATTTATTTATTGGTGAACTATGCCTTTCATGAACTTTTTTCGTCATCATTTTGTTGTTTTAAACCTCTATGACTTTTTTTCTTCTGTGGAACACAAAAGGAGATTTTTTTAATGAATTTTAATTGGTTAAAAATGTTGTAAATAGAAAGAGAAAATTATTTTATTTATATATTTTAATGAACTATCCCTTTAATGAACATTTGTTGTAATCATTATGTCATTCTAAACCTGTATGTCTTACTTTCTTCTGTGGAACACAAAAGGAGATCTTTTTTAATGAATTTTAAGAAGATAAAATGTCATATGGGTTTAAAACAACATGAGTGTATGAATAATAATTCTTTATTTGTTTCTTTTTATTAATTTTTTTTACTGTCACTGTACATCTATTCCTTTATAACTTTAATGAACATTTATTGAAATCATTATGTTTTACTTTTTTTTATTTTTAAGTGAAATTTAAGAGAATAAACAGTAATATGAATTTGGAACATCATGAGAGTGTGTAAATAATTAGAGTTTATTTATTTATTTATTTATGATGAACTATCCCTTTAAGGAACATAATTATTATGTTGTTCCAAACTTACTTACTTTCTTCTGTGGAACACAAAAGGAGATTTTTTAAATGAATTTTAAGTGAGATAAACATTCATATAGATTTGGAACAATTTGTGTAAACAAACAGTGTTTTTATTATTTTTTTATTTTTTGGGTGAACTGTCCCTTTAATAATATCCAGTTATCGCAGAGGTCTTTGAATTTGTTTTTAATAAGAAAAGCACAAATATCCATCTCCAGGTGGTAACTACAATTGAGAAATAGGACAGCTGAACTCAAGGTCATTCTAATGGTTTCAGACTCAAACTGACAGCAGGGGGGTTGATTAGTTTGGACAAATCGATTTTACCTAGGAGCTGTGTCCTTATTTAGGCTTATTTGTGTGATATGAAAAGCCTTGATGGTACATGACAGGGAAATTGACAGGATGGTCCAGTGGGTGTTGCATGGCAATAGTTTATGAGAATCTGTATTACATAAGCAAATTTGTAAAAGTCATCTCCACAGTTGGCGGTTATTTATCTACATGACTCAAATGCATTTTCTGCAGCATATAAAGTAATGCTTTTGCTTTTCATGAAGGGTTTTTATGAGCGATACATTAAGTGACACGTAATGGCAAGTTTCACTCAGTGTCCGTATCATTTTGAGCATCAAAGTTTAATCCACCATTTCCAATAATCTCGTTGGATTACTAGGACTAGGAGTGGCCGATGGGACGCACTGGAAATCTCGTTTTGAATCTGTCTGGCTTTACTACATGATCCCCGTCCATATGTACAGGCCGCCCCCTGCCCATTTACCTAAATGTCTTACCTTCTGAGTGACAGATAGCCCTATTACACTAATCCTGGTAAAGAGGAAGGCTTTAGATTTGCTACAAAAGACCTTACAAGTGCAGCTCCATGTAGGATATCAAAGCTGCAGTTCCGGTTGAAGGGCCGTCCTTTGAGAGCTGGCGTTCCTTACAATCCGTCAGATGTCAGAGCAGCTGCTAAGCCTTTTGTGAACAGATCTGGTGGAAAGCAAACAGATCCAGATCTGGCCGTGAGGATGTATTTAATGATGCTCACAGAAGTCTTAGCGAACACCCTGCTAATTGCACTGGTATGAAGCTGTCAGAATCCAGTAAACAATGAGTATTATGAAAAATTAATGCATGGCATAGGCAAAAGAGGTCATATATCAATGGGATGGAGAAGATGGTGTAATTCAATTGTCAAACACAGTTGTATATGTTGTATAAATGGATTAAATGTTTGTTTGTTTGTTTTGCAGGTCCTGCTATTCCAGTGGGAGTTGATGTACAAGTGGAAAGCTTGGACAGTATTTCAGAAGTAGACATGGTAGGTAATCCTAAACAGTTGCTTTTCACATGTGTTGTTTTACATAACACCCTCAACTATTTGACTCTAAATTATAGAACATATGAGGACACATTAAACGGTTGAATTTTAACTTGACAAAAATGAAGCTTCATTTTATTTTAAATCTGAAAATGTTAGGATTTTTGGCATTGTGACATTATTTTCACTACAGTTTAATACATTTCGGAATCAAATTTTCGGATACATCCAGATATCTTTAGAAATGTTTTGATTAAATTTAAATATTAAAAAAAAAGATTTTTATGTTATTTAAATACAATAATAACAAAGCCAGTAAAACACTACCATGATGTAAAATATTTTGCAATTTAAATCAATTATCATTTATTTATTTATTCATTACTTTCATTCATTAATAATTAGAATTTTGGGATTTATAGTTATGAAAATCTACTATGCAAAAATAGAAAAAAGTCCTAAAAATAGGTTTCATTTTCTATGCAAAGGATAATTTATGTAAGAAAAATAATAAGAAAATAAGATTTATAATAAGAAAAATAAGAAAAAAATATTTATTATAATAAAATATTCTTATAGTATATATAATTTCTTTCTTTTGATTTTGATAAAAAATGACTTTGACATGTTCTACGCAAGTTTTGTAAGATTCACTCTCAATTTCATAATTCTATAGCTTTTAAATTTTGCCCATTTATTACTGGCTTTTTTGCAGTTACTGAGTCCCACAAGTGTATTCCTAAAAAAAGAGCTGCTGCATCTGATGGCAAAAACTTTGATCATGGATCTTCTTTTTACTTTTATTTTTAACAGAATATGACACCCATTCTGCCATTCCATTCTCATGTTTTGGGTTTCCCTCTTGGTAGAAGTCTTTGTGCGATGCAACAAAGAAACTGTGTGGTGCTTTTATTGACCATATATAATTGCTGTCCATTTGAAATGTTTATGGTTATATAAGCCAAAGAAAGAACAGAGAAGGGATGATCTGCTTGAGCGATGTAGAGAGGCATCATATGGAGGATTGAGAGTTACATCGACTTTCTATTTAAAACAAACTGCAAAGAAAAGACTTGTAAGGAATTGATGTAAGATGTGAAATTGGCCTTGTACTTGCTGCAGCAATAAAACAGTTGCCACTCCCAAAACTTTGGTGTGTGTACATTGCCAGTATTGCCACATAACCTTTGAAGAACATGTCTAGCTCATTTCACCCTGAAATCAAAAGAAAGATACTATATTTTGCTTAGGAAATAAAGTCTACGTAATGTTTTTATCATTGGGCATTATTTTCATGACAATTGATCATATCCCCTCCTCTCAATTCTCATTACTGTAATGCAAAGAAAATCCAATTCTAATCACTATAATGAAAAAAGCAATGTTGCATATTATTTATGTCATCATTTATGTTGTTGCAAACACAAAGAGTTCCTTCCTTGGATAACAAAAGCTTTCAAGCTTCAAAAGGATACCAAAGTCCCATAAAAGTGGTTCCTATGACTTGTGCGCTATGTTCTTCTGTCTTCAGAGGCCTTAAGATTTGGGATATTCCACACAAGTCATATGAGCATCTCGGTTATGTATGTAACCTTCATTCACTGATGGAGGGAACGGAGACATTATGTCGTGACGACATAGGGGGTTTACTTTTAGAGAAAACGCCAATGAATTTTGGATAGTGGATTTTGCATACCTGAGCCACTCCCTGTGCATACGGGTTTAAATAGGTGACAGGTGCATCCACTCATCAGGTTTTACACTGAGGAGCCGAGAACGTGTCCCTGGCAAACAGCGATGGTTCAAGGTTGTGGCATGGAGACATAACGTCTCCGTTCCCTCCATCAGAGAACGAGGATTACGTACGTAACAGAGACGTTTCCTATCTGTCGGTCACTACGAGTTATGTCGTGACGACATAGGGGGTCCATGAAAAGCACCACAACCTGAACCCCGTCACAACCCTATAGCGCTGCAAATGTTGTCAAAGAAATGCTACGCAAAGGTCGTAACCTTACCAACGCCCCATCGCAAATTCGCTGACCTTGGTGCCCGCAGGGACCAAAAGGTGAGTACATCGCTGCTGGAGATAGCCAAGCCGCTGTTCCTATGACAGAATATTTTTTCTTAAGAGAAGGGATTTCGACCTTCATGAAAGGTGCGTCATGCCTTTCCTGTTTGTTGTTTACAGCTTTGGCAGTAACGAAGGGGAAGCGAGCCTTCCGGAGAAGGGTGCTACGGAGACCACATCCTGCCCATAGGGAGGTATCATGTGGAGACACTAATATGGACTGACCCAGGCCTGGGGCAGTACTACATATGGAATGGGTCTCTGAGGCAGGTCCTACCTAGGAGTAGGGAGGAACGGCTGCCAGCAGAGACTGACAGAGGGGTCTGTCAAAGGGAAGACACGGGTTCACCAAGAGGGAAACCTTACCATGGAGAAATACACATATGGGATCGCCCACAGGGAATCAAGCAATATGGACACCTAGCCCAGTAAAGAGGCTGACCGGAAACCCAGGCAAGCTAACACTGATACTGGGCCTGGCGTCAGACTGCTGGAGGATACTCAACCAGGGTTTGTCATCTGGGGAACTTACTGGAGGAGGAAAAGCGCTCGCATCCCCTGGTGAGGGGGAATGGCGCAGCAAGCGTGACACTGGCTGGCTCTTCCCGCCACTTACCGGTTACTCAA